AGGATTCAACCATGATGTCGGAAAAACATACAAAATATCAGTGTTCAAAATTAGACCGGACTAGAAAAATCGGAAACCAGTTACCTGATTGATTTTGTTTCACCCTAGAATCTCTTTTTGGCCCAAAACCGTTGATTTGGTAAGCAAACCACTGACTCAGGCGATTGAACCGTTGACCTGGACAATGACTTTTGGCTATTTTTTTGTTTTTTATTTTATTTTTGTTAGAATGGAATGTCCGTTTGGTCCGAAAGGTCGGATCATTCAACGTAGGAACCAGACCCATAATGGTTGCTTGTCTCGTCCAATTTTAAAAACCTTGCAAAATATTGCAAAAACATATAACCAACCAACCAACATCATAAAAGTGATAACTAATCCAGTGGGTTTTTCATCAAAATTCACAGTGGGTTTTGATTGGTTAAAGCCTTTTCACTATCATAGATTTTTCCCCTAAGGCTTATTATGGGAATGAAGAAAACACATACAAATATGTAAAGTGCAAAGTCTTTAATACTATATTTCAAAACCTTGTATTTGCACTGGTTTTTATTTGTACTCTTCCCAAGATGAGCCTAAATTTGGAAAGGATACAAATGAGAAACCTTATAAATTATATTTCTAAACCTTGTATTTACACCATACATATTTGTATTTGTACTCTTTCCAATCTAAGCCTAAAATCGGGCAATTCCATTAGACCAATTCATCTATTATCAAACTAGTGGGTTGTAGCGTGAAGGTATGCCCTTTGCCCCCCTGATTTAAATTCAATAATACATCATTTGAGCATTTTGACCTTTTGAGGTATAAAGAAGAAATAACTGAAAGATGTCCCGATAAGGATTGGCCTTAGCCTTAAAAAAAAGAAAAGAAAGACCACAATAAGGTAATCTAAATGCATCAAATAACTCAAGATTGTCAATAATGATTTATTTGTTACAAGCCACCCCATGCCTTTGGGGGTTACATTATTGCAACCTCTGTATGGAAGGTGGCTAAGTAATTTAGTTGGGTGAGGCTCAAAAAATCAGCTACTCCTGATGGAATGCCATTGGCTAAAACTGTGAACCATGGTCCTCAATGTATTGATGTGGCCCCAACACTACTCCAAGTGGAATAGTTGTTTTATCCTTGATCTTTAGTTGATTGTAGCGGAAACTTGGAATCAATTCCTACTTTTACTCGGGATGGGGGGTGGGGGGAAAGGAAAAACTTTGGCTGTTAGGGGCCAACAACCTTTCCTGTTGAGAGAGTTTCTAGGTTGGGCACGTTACCATGAGAGTGGACAAATTAGTAATTGCTCATTGATTTATTTTGAGTAAAAATAAAAACATGCCCATAAATTGGTGAACTGCTGTGAACATGCTCAACCTAGAAACTCTCTCAACAGGAAAGGTTGTTGGCCCCCAATAACCAAAGTTAACCCGAGGGGAATCGTTATAAGTATGGATAATGAACCAATTCCCACTCACCCATTCACCCACCCACCTACCCCCCTTAATGCTAGGAGTGCTCACGATTTGATTAATGGAACCATAAGATCTTTTTTGAACCGAACTAGTGCTATTGGTTTTTGAAATTTTCATTAACTAAAACCATTGGTTTGGTTTTTATATTTACAAAATATTTATATCTATACTACTTTAGAGAGTACGAATAACCTTAAGAATATTCTAGAATTTTTTTAGGATAAATTTTACCCCTCTATATTTAAATTTATTTATAAAACGTTTTATTGGTGACAAAAATCAACTGAAAGTAATTCTTTCATAGTTGAAATAGGGAGAAAGAATTCCACAATTTATATGCTTTAAAAAATAAATGTCCCTAGGCAGAGTTATGATGATGCTTCCTTTTCTAGATGATGTGCATACCAAGGTGGAATTAAAGCACTCATTATCCTTTTCTAGCATGCTCTCCCGTAGTGTTTGACCAAAAGACACAAAGTTAGGCAAATGCAAAGCTTTCTTCTTTATATGGGAAAATCATCATCAAGTGGGTTTTCATTCTAATAACCATAAACAGAAGCAAAAACCCAACATGTAAAAGAATAGGTGTAGTAACCTTAAAGAGAAATTCATATCATAAATCAATCAACAAAGACTATGGAGGGATTTGTTTAATCTTTAACGAGAGAAAGTATATCAAATCTAGTCTTTGGCTTACCCTAATAAGATAATCTTCTCTTTCATCAACAAAAGAAGACTTGTCTGTTTGGTGCAGACATTAGCTAGACCATACCATTTTCGAGGGATTTCTCAATAGGAATAAGGTCTTTGTGCCTGAACAAGAGTTAAACAAAAAACAATCAAAGTACAAAGTCACTTTGCTTGAGCTCGATCTACATGGTTCGTTCTCTTTCTTGATTCTGTCTATTTCATTGTTGAGTTACTACAAAAGTCATTAGAGACAAACTTTTTTAATTAGTTACAAAGCAGAAAGAAAACCAGAGAGATGATAGGTCTACTCATAAAAATAGATTTCATATTTAATTCTTGGTCTGTTTGTTAAGCAATTGACCACATGAGTTTCTCTCTTTTTCACTTAGATCTTGAAACAAAACTAGGTATTCCAATTATACCCATCCCTTTTTTTCAATATTTAAGGAAGCAAGGATAACTCAAAGTATCTTGAGAAAAAAAAAAGAAATTAAGAGAGATGTTAATTACCTCATGCCTTGCATCCCATAATCTCTTGCCTTAGCACTTCTAGCATCTATCCAAAATCTTTATTAGCCTTCACCAGTAAAGGAAGAGAGAGAGAGATGAAAACAAAAACCGCCATTAATGAAGTAAAATGAAAAATTAATGAAGTAAAGTGAAAAGATTAGTAAGAAGTAAAATAACAAGAAAATTAAGATACATACATACGTGGTGTTAGGGCTACAATATTCAGGCATCTTGCCAGTACTAGAGAACATAATAAGTGAGACTTCTGCATCATAGAGAACATTTGCCTCCCTAGCTTTCTTTTTTATCCCATTTCTCCTCTTCGTATACATGAATTGCCTGTTTGTTGAGTTCTTTATCCTCTTGATCTCGATCTTCCCTCTCCCCACCTCTCAACAGTCAAACATGCTCAGTACACACTCCTGACAAAGCCAACTTACAAGGTTTTCACTAAATGGGCTTTGGCTTGAATCTACACCCCGTCTCCTTAACCTTTGGTCCCTCTACTGTAAAGCAATTGATTTATCATTTTTTAGTTAATCAAATCAGTTGATTACATGGATCCGACCTTGGGCGGAGTTTTGCTACGTAAAATGGTCTTTTCCATGTTGTATAGGACATGTGTCATGCAACAAGCATCAAAGTTCGTGCAAGTCTTATCTAGGGTTTCGGCCATGGAAGTCTAAAACTAGCAGTTGGATCAAGATCTTAGCCATCAAATCAGATCAATGATTACCCTGAATAATTGGAGCAAGATGAAAAGGTAAATTAAAGAATGATCTATTATTGAATTTATGTTCCTAATACATGACCATTTTCTGGTTTGATTTTCTATTTATAAAATAAAAATTTTGATAGAATAGATAGCAATTCACCTTAGTCCCAGTTTGAGGAATAAAAATCCAAGCCTAACCCAAATAAATCTTGCGGGTCTGATCTAGTGTTGGGCTTGCCCAAGTTGCACTCCTTCAACTCACATTCAAATGAATAACTAACACCATCTAAATTGGAAGCAACTAGCAACTCTCCTACCAATTCAAGAAAAGATCAACTCCGGTATGTGTACATGTGTCCATATATAAATACATATTTACATGCATACATGTATATATGCATACTTTTCAATAAAATATTGTAGACTTTTATAGTGTTGCTCATTATATGGTCTAGACCTCCAAATTGCACCAAACCAAACTGAAATTGGAGATTTGGTCTGATTTGGCCTAAAAATGGTTTGATTTGGTTTATAAAATTTTAGAAATCAGACCAAACCATAAACCATATTAATTTAATTTACTAGTTTGGTTTAAGAGCTTTAAATAGAACCAAGCCAAACCACTTAATTATATATTAAATTTTAGTTTGGGGTGATTGACCAATTGACCATAGCCTAGGCTCGAGTCCAACCTGGATGCTAGGGGTGAGCAAAAAACTGAAAAACTGAATTGACTGAAACCGAACCGATCGATTCGGTTAACCAATATAGAAAACCGAAGGTACCGGTTCAGTTTCGGTTAATCAATATAGAAAACCGACGGTTAACCGAACCGATTGGTATACATATATTTTTATATATTTTATATATATTTATGTATATTATATATATTATAAATTAATAAATATGCATTATATATAAATATATCTTTATAATATATTATATCTTATTTATTATTTAAAATATAATAGTATATATAAATATATATAATTTTTATAATATATTGTAAAAATTAAAAAACCAAAAAACCGATGAACCGAATCAATGAACCGGCTAACCAACTGGCTTCGGTTCGATTTCGATTACTGGTTTTCCAAAAAATGGTAGTACTAGTACGGTTCAAAAAAAAAGCCCCACGGTTTAGCTAACCAAACCATGAGCACCCCTATCGGATGAATCAAATTTCACTGTGGACTGGACTTCAATTGGACAATTGTGACTATCTTGAGCTAGCTCAAATCTCAGGATTGGACCAAACCCACCCCAACATGCCTGACTTATATCCCTAATCTATAGGAGGTTTAAAGTAGCATTTTTTTTCATTACCTCTAAGCAACACCTTCACCAAAGACTAGTACAACATGACTACAAAATTAAATAAAGGTCATTTCCCAACCGTTGACAACCCTGGTATAGAAAGGAATTTGGCAATAGAGATTAGTGGGCCAAATTGAGGGAAGACTTTTTCTCCATCCATGAAAGGAGATGAATGTTTTGTTAACTTTTTTTTAGGGATGGAAGGCCCTTATAAATACCTAATCCCATCTCTTTCATTCTTCAACAAACCATTATCTTCCTCAAATACATTATTGTAGGAAATAAACAAAAAGAGGATGGTGGGCTTGTATAAGCTTAAGCTTACTCTTTTAGCTTCCCTGGTTTTTGCCCTGTTCCATGTCTCCCTTGCCCAAACCTCTCCAAAGGACTACCTCAAGGCCCACAACGAAGCTCGTGCAAAGTTAGGGATTCCTCCTTTGACATGGGACAACAAGTTGGCTTCCTATGCTCAGGACTATGCTAACAAGAGAATCGAAGACTGTGAGCTTCTACATTCAACTATGGACTATGGTGAGAATATAGCCACAGCCAGTTGGTCTATGTCTGCGAAAGAAGCTGTGGACATGTGGATTGACGAGAGACCGTTCTACGACCATGCATCCAATACCTGCAAAGGCGGAGATTGCCTGCACTACACTCAGGTGGTTTGGCGAGATTCTGTTCATTTGGGGTGTGCTATATCGAATTGTAAGGCTGGAGGATCCTTTGCAATTTGCCTTTATGATCCCCCAGGAAACGTCATTACCCAACGTCCATACTAGAGAGAGACTTCTCTACTTTCCATATGAGAATTTTCCATCTGTTAAACTACTTACCACAAAAAAAAGATTCTATTCATTTTTTGTGGTCATCCATCTCATTGCTTTGAATTATGTTGTTTGTAATTTTCAAGCCGTGTTTGGGGGTGCTTTTTGTTCTAAATAGGCATATGAAAAAGCCATTTTTTTTTTAAATGGGCTCACATATTGTATTTCTAATACTTGTGTTTATAGTGCAAGGCCCTTGTATATTTTATTTCTAGACCTTGTATTTGTTCTATACATAATTGTCTAAGCTAAAATTGATTTTTATTATTTTTTTTGTGCTTGACCAAACAACTATTTTTCTTGTGCAATAAACCAATTTGAGCAGTTCTTTTTTGCCAAACAATTTTTATGATTGGCTTTGAGTTATCCATTTTTTTTTTAAAAAAAAAAACGTACAAAAATCCCATTGGAGAAAATTTTCCAACTATGATTAGCTTCAAACTATCAACATAAAGAAAGAAAGGAAGCTTAATGCCTTAAATGGGTTTTAATTCAAAGTGAACAATAATTAATGGTTAATTGCAAAATCAAATTCTAGAATGTGGAGTTTCCTTTAGATATAGACCATGTCTTTTTTGTGATGGTGGGATGAGTGGGAACTCTTTAGGTTCTTATGCTTTTGTTTGTCTTTTAATGTTGGTTTCTTTGTGGCTATTGCTTCTAGGAGATGCCAGGTGAATCATTCTACGCTGAAGATGGAGTTAAAAGTTATCTTGGTTGCTGTTTCGTTTGCTTTCAACTAGGGGTTTCACAAAACTGTTATATTCTCAAACTCTTGGTTTAGAGTAACGTTTAAAAAGCGACCCGGATGGAACCGTTCTGGCCACCGGTTTCTGGGTCGACGGTCTGACCGCCCAATTCGAATGGATGGCCTGTTCTGATAAAAAATAAAAAAATGTCAAAAACCGTTGAATAGATCGACGGTTCAACCACCCGATCAACGAGTTATTGACTTTTTCAATGATTTATTGTTAAAGACCGAATTTGGTATAAAATAGAACCGGTTGCCTAAATGGTTCTCAGGCCGAATGGTCCGATCATCCAGGTCAATGGCAATTCAAAAACCATGATTTAGAGGGTGCTTCTTAAGAGCTTTGGCATTTGGTGGACCGTATTTTATTTTTGGTTATAAAAATGTTTGTAATCTATTGTTAACCATGAGGTAGCTTGAGGCAGCATTTAGCATTTCTTATTTTAAGGATTTATCTTTTTTTTTTTTTACAGTTAAAATGTAACACTGAATTTTAACTGCAAAAAAAATATGATAAATCCTTAAAATAAAAGAATGTCAAATGCAACCTAAATCTGTTAATATAGAATGAGTAATCCATTAACGGTTATTTTGAATAAATAGAACCAAGTGGTGTGGCACAAATTAAATAGAGGGTTCATGTAAAAGTTGGATTGAAGGGCCCTTAGAATGTGAATTTGTTCATACAATACCAAACCCTAGGGATTTGATGTTTGGGATCTTCTCATTGGGCAAAAGGATGTCACGTGGAGCCGTGTTGATTCCTTGTTGGCATTCAACACTTACTTGGACTTTGGGTGCATTATTAGAACTGGGGATGATTATTTATGACCACATCTGTCCTTTCATACACAAATTTCTGGGCCTTCACTCTAGCCCAGCTTGACCTGACCTGACCCAACCCCACATCAAGCTTGCACGTAGTGTGGGTAGGACCCAGGCCAAGCAAGACCTAGGCTAGCCTGGCCTATCCCCGAAATTGTATACATATAGTAGATATCTTGTATATTTATAAGTATATATTAAACAAAGATGGCCATGTCTGATGGCTTCTCCTTTCTCTCTTTACCCAAACAAGCTTGCTTCTCCTTCGTTCCCTCTCTCTTATAAAAAAAGAATCTTTTTACTCTTCTTTTGCCACCTAAAACCCCTATTTTCCTAATTTCTCTCTCTCCTATATATATATATATATAAACATAACTTTTTTTTTTTAATTTTGATTACATAAATCATTTAAGGGTCTGTTTTGTTCACAGTCAGAATCAGCATTGGGTTGGAACCGAAATCTTTTGGAATCGAAATCGAAATGGTGTATTCTAATAGTATGTTTGGCTCAAACAAGAATGAAAATGAAAATTGAAATCAGTTGGAATGGGATTTTCATTGAAGGAATGGCCATTCCCTCAACTGGGGGAATGTCATTCCACCAGGAATGAAAATGAAATTCCAATTCAGCCCAACCAAAGAATTGGAATTGAAATAACCCATTCCAATTTCGATTCCAAATCATCAACTGACCTAAAGTCTTAATTTTTTCCCAACTGATCCCACAAAAGCACGACCCTCGGGGTACTGTGGAAAACCCTCCTTCTACGAGGTCTAATGTTTGAGATTGTTAGTGATTCTGACAGTTGAACAGCATTTTTTCTGCACAGAATAGAGAATGATAATGACTGATTTTATTACTAGTAAATGTATACGTGCAACACAAGTCAAACCATTTTACCCAAATGATAGGGCCATTAGGATACAAGTTCTGTAAATTGGGCTAAATTTGTGCTCAACCTAGGCCCAACCTTATGCAATGGGCCTAAGACTCGAGCCCAAGGTTAATCAAGATCCATCTAACTTGGGTCCAATCAACATTGAAATTTGATGCATTCGGAGTTGGGCTTGGGCTTGGGCTTGGATTGGTCAGTCATTCCCATGCTAAAATTTGATATAAATGTATGTGTATATGTATACATGTATGCACATACATGTTTCTATATGTATATGTATGTATGTATATATTCAGGCCAAGCTCAAACTACCTAAGACTAGACTTAGACATAACTCGGAAATTAGAAAAAAACATAAACTTTTGAGCCCAGGCCAGGCCCAGCCTAAGGACCAAAATCCAACCCAATTCATTTAAAATTGTAAGTTTGGTTGGTCCTCTAGGCTTAGATCGAGCTTGCTAAATTTGCTCCCTTATGGGTTACTAACCACCAATTAGATCAAATATCAGTTTTCTTCTTGAGTTAGTTTAAATTTTTATTCTATTTCCATCATTAATATAAATGGTTCTTATTTATCACACTTATTTTTGTTTAATATGATGAAATACATAATATTACAGATGTACCCAAATGTTTTCTACAAATTATTTGTAATTTTTAAATAACAAATTATTTGTTATTTAATTATGACAATGTAGGTTGACCGATTTGACCTAAAAGGTTGAACCATTGACCCACCGCTTGAATAGGAATATGGTTTCATTTATGAGTCGGTTTAAAATTTGTATTTTGTTTCAATCATTAATAAAAATACTTCTTATTTATCATACTTATTTTTGTATACTGTGATAAATATATAATTTTAGAGATGTGCCTACTTTTTTTAATGTAACTTTCTTATTTTAATTTATTTTTAAAGCTTTATTATTTTACTATGAGAACATTGATTGCTCCATTTGACCTAGATAGTTGAATTACATAACTGCCACACTAACAAAGGACAATTTAGTTTTCATGTTGAGTTTGAACACATAGGTTTGTATTGCTAAATTTTTGGATATAAATTTAATTAGTAGAATTTATTAGTAAGAAACAAAAATAAATAAAGGATTAAAGAGGGGAAATTGAAATTAACACCTTAATGAGAGGAAATTGAATGAAGTGAAAGTAATAATTTAAATTACATGTTTTACCCTCACAATTGGAAGACCAAATTCAATAATATGGGTGTTTTGGTCAAGAAAAGATCTACAAAGCTCATTTATTTAATATATAGTAAATATAAGATTTAATGAGAAGAATTGAGAATTAATATCTCAAAAAACAAGAGGTAATGGAATAAATTTAATGTAAATAATAGCTCAAGTTACATTTTTACCTTCATAATAAAGACCAAATTCAACATTGAGGTATTTTAATCAAGAAAAATTTTAAAATCTAGACCTCAGAATAAAGGTTCCTTCAAAACATGCACTGTGCTTCTGTTTGAGGATAAGGTGACGAGCCACAAAATGCCAGAACATTAAAAGGAAATTTGTCACATAGTAAGAACCTGATCTCTTCATTTGGATAGGGAGCTATTAGTGTGGCAGTGGTATCTTTCTATGTACTATCTAAGATGTTTTTTTTCTTAAATAAAATGCAAAAATATTAAAATGTTTTTATATTCTACTAAGGTGTAAAAATGTAATAAGATAAAGGAAAAGCTCTACCTCTCACTGAGACACTTGATAGGAGTTGAGATCATAAAGTGGAAAGTTTGTCAATTGACGAGAAGGGTGTGTGGTTCGAGTATGGTTTCAGTACTCACAAAATCATCCTCACATTGTATTCACCATGGTTTTTAAAACCGATTCGATAACCGAACCAGTCAGGGGTCTGGCTACCGGGTTGAGTGGTCCATTCAACCCAAATGATTGGCCCGTTCTAATAAAAAACATAAAAAAATTGAAAAACGGTTAAAACCGTTCGAACCGTTTGAATGGTTAGAACGGTTAAACAGTCGGTTCAGCGATTTATTGACCAAAATTAATGGTTTTAGGGAAAAACGAAATCGGTCAGGTGATCGGTTTCCAGTTTTTCTGAACCCGTCTGATCCAGTCCAGTTTTGAAAACCATGATATTTACATTGTTTTGTAGCTATGTATGGAACATCTTCATATTTATATGGTTTTATTCGTGGGGAGATATTTCCAATGCACAACTACAAGTGGCTGTGAGCACACTATAAAGATGGTTTGTAGAGATGGCAATTTGGCCCATCCTCATGGGGCCCCATCCCAGTCAGGGCAGATTTGGGAAAACCCAAAATTCTGGGGATTGGGATGGTATACTATATTATAATAAGGGAAATTGTCAAAAACTCGCCATGAGTTTTCAACATTTATTTTAAACTCACCACAACTTTTCAAAATGTATATAACTCACCATGTCACTAATTTGAAGTTAAAGAGACTAATGACTATTAAAATATTACTATTTTAACCTTCATAGAAAAATATAAAATATATACATACGTTTTAATATTTAGATATGGAAAAAGGAAAAAGTTCAAAAAATATTTTCAAATATAAAATACATAAAAAATAAATTAGAAAAATATAAAAAATTATAGAAATTGCACACAAAATAAAAAATTATTTTCAAATTATATAAACTACAGAAATTGAAAAACAAAATCAGAAAATAAAAATTGTAGAGAAAACACCAAAAATTATAGAAAAACACAGAAATTGCAAATAAATAACAAAAAGATACAGGAAATTTTATAGATTGCAGAAAATAGATAAATGTAAAAAAACAGAAATTATAACAAAACACTAAAATGTTAAAAAAAAGAAAATTAAAAAAATGAAAAGACCCTTTTCCTCTAACTCACCATTCAAGGGTGATTTGGTCATAAAAAATGTTATTTATGTTGACGTGGACACCTTTGTTAAGAAACATTAATGGTGCACTTACGGAAGGTGAGTTTTGGAAAATAAAAACTTATTGACATGGTGAGTTTTAGACGTTTTGAAAAGTTGTGGTGAATTTAAGAGAAATGTTGAAAACTCATGGTGAATTTTAGACAATTTCCCTTATAATTATATTATTATTATATTACATAATGTAAAATAGTTGTAGGTAGGTTTCAAAAATATATAAAAAAATTGCAAGTATACAAGTAGGAATGACAAGGGCCGGACAAATTCAGGGATCCCCATTTAATGTGGGAATTGGGATGGGGTTAGGATTTCTAGGCTTGCTGGGGTTTGGAGTGGGCATTTAAGTTTGGGGAGGGGAATGGCAGAATGGGGTTAGGATTTCTAACCCCCGTTGCCATTCTTATGGTTTTGTGAGGATTGAATCTGGTTTAGTGTGGTTCATGGTTATTTTTACAACATTTTAAGAATCTTTTTTTTTGCAAGCCAATATCTTTTTGGGGTTAAGTACACTGTAGCCCAATGCAGAATTATGAATTACACCCCCCTATAAACCACATCCTGCCCGTGAATTTGGCATCTACCCACGGTTAGGATTCACCCCCCTGTACAGTGGGGCTAAAAATTTCTGAGCTGGACTGATCAGTCATTCTCCCTATTTTTTTGTCCAAAATATTTTAAAATATATTTTCGTAAAAGATAGCAAAAGGATCGGTTGATGGGTAGTGCTCTAACGGAATAAAAGATCCCATGATATTAAAATTATCTTATTTTGAGAAACATATTATTTATCAAATCAGAGTGGTGCAGTGGAAGCACGGTGGGTCCATAACTAGGGCTGTAATGGGATTAAACTCAGACCAGATGCAGCAAAAGCCGCATCGAATCCGATTACTGAGAACATACATCCAAATCCGATCCAAATTCTGATTGGATTTAAATTTAAATCTAAATACGATTCAAATTCTGATCGAATTTAAAGATTCAGATTCAGATTCAAATCCAAACAGACTTAGATCGGATTTAGATTTAATCTGACTCCGCTATAAATTTTCTAAAATATCAGTAAAATTTAAAAATTATTTATTTTTCAACTTTTATATATAATAAATTAATATAAATATACATATTAAACTTATTATATATAAATACAACATATAGAATATATTTTTATAATTTTAAATATAATTATATAAAATTAATAAATATTATAATATAATCAGATTTAGATTTTAATTGGATGGAATGGGGTCAAATCAGAACCCGATCCAATTATAAAATGTAACATCTGAATCCGATCCAATTACATAAATATATACATCATCCGAATTTAAGATAATTAATTCTCATGTTGGATTGAGCCTTGGATTTTCGGGTATCATTGACAGGCCTATCCATAACTCACATGTCCCAGGATCGAAACCCGTCTCTTGATAGACGATATTATAAAAATAATGGCTTTAATCTTTTTTTTTTTTAATTAGCACAAATTTTTGTACCGACCAAAAAAATAAACAAACCATGTTATCAGTGGGGAAAATGTACTTGACACAAAATGCCATATTTCTTTTACCTAACTGATGAGCTTAAAAAATAAACATTTAAACCGTTTTTTTGTTCACTTTGCATGTGCGAGTTGTTCTGATAGGCTACAACTTTTGTAATAGGGTTGACAGTGTTTCCCAACACCACCAGTATCTGAACTTCCTGAACCCAATGGGAATCCGTTTCTATTGTAAATCGGGATGGAAATCACTTTTAACCCTAACAGGGATTAAGGTCGGAAATGGGGATGAAGGGTCCTTGCCCCAAACCCGTCCCATTGTCAGTTTGCCATTCGTACTGCTTACATCTCAAAAAAAAGAAAAAGACTCAAACCCCAAAACCCAAAACCTTTTTTTTCTCGTCATGGACTCGGATGTATTCAAATTTTGAACATTGCATATGACAGACAGACAAATTGGCCCATTATTGTCACTGATTCAGCGCATCTGTCTAAACCACGGTTTTTAAAACCGGAACCAACAGAGAACCATTATGGGATTGTTTTCCGGTCAAACGGTCCGACTGTTTGGTTAATTGGTCCGCCCAAAACTGGTCCAAATGTTTCCCATATCTGTTTCTGTTCTGAAAGGGTCTAGTAATTGAAAGTCCTGGACTTGTCGCATTGGGAACAAAATTAAGTTTCATTGCAGTAAGGTAGATCAGGTACTCTCTTAGGTTGTCAATAGGAATTACAGTTCTGTGGGCCTGCTGCCCAGAGAGGGCCCAGCATGCTAAAAAGTAAAAACTTCTCTTGTTAAGAACTATCCCCTATTTTGCTGGTTGAAATTGTTTGAAATGACTCAGCTCTAAAGAAGTCTCAATTCATTGGAGTTGGAGATTGTACGACGCCAAAATGCCTGAAATCCTACTCCCAATGAGCAGGGATCCTCCCTCTGGACTCTGGACTTCCGTTCAGTTTGTGACAGCTGACTGGTTATCTCATCATACGTGTATACATATGAGAAGAGCATACATATTTACTAGTATATTCAAGTAAATCTGCCGCTCCTGTGCTATGATATTGAACCTTGAATATTGAGGGTCTGTTTGGTTCTCAGTCAGAATTGAAATTGAAACCAGAATTGGAATTAGAATGGTCTATTTCTATAATCTGTTTGATTGAAACAGGAATTGGAATGAGATTTCAATTCTGTTCAACAGAACAGTTGGAATCAGAATGGCCAATTCCAATTCTGATTCCAGACCCCTATTCTTGTGAACCAAATGGGCCCTGAGTTTTGAGGATGCAATATTAACTTTTAGGGGATGTTCGTTTTTTTTTTTGGACTTTGAGAGGGGGGGAAGTTGGTCAATTGGAGGATTTTGGTTTCCATTGACCAAGAAATCTATGTTCTTTTTTTTCAGATTTATGTGGGAAATAGAGAAAGTTTATTTTCCCGGGTAAGTGATACCCATCTCCTAAGTGGATAAATAACTTTCCCACATAGGGGAGAGTTGCCAACACTTGAATGGGACAAAAATGCCCCTTTTAATAATGAATTTTTATGGATAAATGGCCATTACCTTATTTATATGAGAAATTAAAGAACATGGGTAAATGTACTTACTTAGGTAAGAGTTTCATAGGAAAAATTTACCCAGGTAACTGCACTTACCCAAGTAACCATCCGAAAAACGAATAGGGCCTTAGGGTGTATTTGTTTTCTAGATTTTCAGAGGGGGGTAAGTTGGCCAATGGGATTTTGGTTCCCATTGACCAAGATACCCATGTTCTTTTTTTCATATTTATGTGGAGACCAGGAAAATTTTACTTTCCCAGGTATCACTTACCAAGGAAAGTGATACCCACCTGGGGAAAGTGATACCCATCTCCCAGGTGAGTAACACCTAGAAGAAGGTTGCCAACACTTAGATGGGATAAAAATGCCCCTTCTAATAATGGATTTTTATGACTAAAATAGTAATCGTCTTATTTACTTGGGAAATAAAAGAACATGGATAAATACACTTACTCAGTACGCATTTCCTAGGAAACACTTGCCCAATAAGTGTACTCACCTAGATAAATAACTTACTGAAAAACGAACGGAACCTTAAAGTAGAAATTTACCTACGCTTTTAGAGAGGGTAATAGAGCCATGGGCTTCCTTTCCACTATGAGATAACTACAACGGCCAGTCGGCCACTATCTATCTGATCCCCCAACTGATCAGAACAGGATCTGCTCCTCACATACGGACACCTCACAGGCACATCCACCGTGTATTGGAAACATCTCCCATGAATAATAGCTTATAAATATGGGAGATGTTCCCAATGCATGGTAGGATGCGCATGTGAGATCAGTGTGAACCGCCCTGTGTGAGGATTGAGAAGCAGATCCGGTCTCCAACTGATCAATAAGGATAGAACCGGAATTCCCTACGTTGTAAATGATTGTTTTTTCTTCAATAATATCAGCCTGTCTTGTGGTCCTTTTATGAGCTAGGTAAGGTATAATGTCCCCCTCAATTTTTTTTTGAGACCATAATGTAATGGGGCACCTTGTCGCATTCGAGTCTGAATTCTAAAAAACGTTTCATGACGCAGAAACCTCAATTGAGCTGAACCACAAATAATCACAAAAGATGATTTGTTCTACAAGTCAAAGGCAAAGTAAAATACCACAAAGGCCCCGTTCGCTTTTCGGTAAATTACTTACCCGGGTAAATGTCTCCCACGAAAGACTTATCCAAGTAAGTGCATTTACCCATGTTCTTTTATTTCCCATGTAAATAAGGCAATGGCTATTTTAACCATAAAAACCCATTATTAAAAGGGCATTTTTGTCCCATTCAAGTGTTGGCAAATTTTACCTATGTGAGAAGTTTACTCACCCAGGAAACAGGAAAATAAACTTTCCCTACCCACATAAATCTGAAAAAAGAACATGAGATTCTTGGTCAATGGGATTTTCCCCCCTCACCCCAAAGTATTTTTGGAATGGAAAAATGTTCTCAAATATTCTCAAAAAGAAGCAGGAAAGGAAATCAAATGTAAGCATGCCTAATTGAATAGGTTAATTGAAGCACAAACAGTGACAACATTAGCTGTATTGGAAATGGGACCGGGGGGGGGGGGCAAAAAACAGAGGATTTTGGACTTGTCGACCTAAGAGCTTAAAAGCCCCATATACAAGAGCTTAATTCAGATACACCAAAACACATTTTACTTTTGCGGTATTACAAAAAGACAAAAGAAACAACCAATTTTATATGCACCTATCTGATTGGCCCTGACTCTGAGACCGCAAACCCCTTCAGCCTTAAAACCAGATTCTCCTTCCTTTCCTAAGATCAGCTTGCTTTCTGTTGGTCTTATTCTTGCAAGGAAGCCAACACCTCTCAACACAAAAAGAATGATATGCAGAATCCTTATTCTCAAATAATTTAGGTTGGCCTCTGATCTGAAGAACAAGATAAGAAAGGAAAAATGAAAAGAAGGGGGGACTGTTTATGAAAATGATAAAGAACTCACACCCTGAGAATGCAACCACATCTTGAAACCAAGTAACAACTTGTTAAAATTCTTTGTGCTCTCAAGACTGCACTGCTAGCCTTTGAAGATGCTCAATGAACACTTGCAGGCTCACATCATCTGTGAAGATCACATCTGATCCAGGGGCTACATCGTGTGCAGAGTTGTATGTGGCCGAGGGGTTCAACTTGGCAAGTAGAAATCTCGCCTGCAACAAAGATGCATGGATAGCAATAACAAGGAATACATTTCGTTAAAACCAGCCAAAATCATGGTCAGTGGTATGTAACTATGCACCAATGAAAATAACAGTTTAATACCAGGAGAAAAAATAATAAAGAATTTAATGCAGGCACATGCACATGCAACCATACACAGAACCATCTCAATTGCTACTGGTCTATACCAAGTAGCAGACAATATCATAAATTAAAGGATTGCCCTGGATTGTGGTTAAACCATGCCCCACATAAGAACCACACTTTTTTCTAAGGCCCCGCTCATTTTTCAGGAAGCCATTTACCTGGGTAAATGCGCTTACTTGGGTTAGTGCATTTACCTGTGATCTTTTGATCAAAAGTGTTTCCAAGGCAATTTAGTCCCATAATGTTTTGGCAACTTTCCCAAGGAGGCAAGTTACCCATCTGAGAAAAGCAATTAACTATGGAACCCACAGTTAAACAAAAAGCAAACATGGAATTGTTGGTCAACAGGAACCACTTTCCCATTGACCAACCCCCCCTACTGGAACAATGGAGGCGTAATTGAAATCTAATGATTATTTTGCACCAAACCAGTAAGTTATCCTACCTAGCCCATGTTCTTCAGTCCCAATAAAAATTTACCTTTGCAACTTGCCTTAAGCACCTCAGATCAAAAAAGCTGTCTCACGAATCTCAGGGACAAAAAAGACAACGGAAAAGGATTCTATCACAGGTTTTCATTTATGTCTGGAAAAAGGTTCTAGTCCAGATTTTGATTAATTACGGTTAAAGGTGCAACTTGGGTGGACCTGAGTTAAGCATTTGTTAATCTTGAAGAGGCCTGGAACAAAGGCCTGGAGCGCAAATTCTTTAAATCAGGTACCCAATTTGCAGTCGCAACCCTAAATTACTGGCAGGGAGAGCACTTGTCTTGAAGGATGCCTTCAATATAAAACTCACCTGGGAGCCATGCTGATCACAAACCACCAATCTTGGGACAGGGAACCGGTCCCGGATTATCATTTGGGCATCGTCACGAGGAGCCTGCAATAGCTGGGCAAAGGCCTGAAGAAAAGAAACAAACAAATTTAAGAAACTATTGGCTCAAAATGGGAAAAAATATGCAAAAAAGAAAGTTCCATCTGAGATGTAAAGGAAGGTATCTCTCTATAGACGTGTCAAGAGAAAGCAAAGTTCAAAGTGGCCATATTCTTACACCAGTTTCCACACCTACCCACCAAACAATTCAAGCTTGGTGTTAGAAGGGTATATCATAAAAATGGGTGAGCTTTTTTTACCCATGCGCTGGTAATGTACTTACAGCCAGGATAACCAATGATTCTTAGCCATTTGATTCTTAACTGGTTACAGATTCACTTCGTTTGAATTCAAATTTGCACTTTGTAATTCATAGTTAATACATAGGCGGAATAGCTATTAACTAGTATTTTGATTTCTCTCATCTGAAGTTCAATATTTTGTGGGGTGCAACAAATGGTGGAGTAGGGAAATTATGGGATATGACTTTTTTTTTTTTGAAAGAGATCTAATTTGACATTACATAGTAAGGAAATGCATGCAAGCAGATGTCTTGCACAAAATGGGTAGTTTTTTCATTTTCTACAATTATATTCGGTTCTTCTTATTTAATTGCTTGGATCAAGATTATATGAGAAATTCAAGGACAGACATCTTCTCCCTACCTTTTAGGTATTTTGTTTCTTAGATTTTTTAGTGCTTTTTTATTTTGTATTTCTTTTCTTCCTTTGAAATGTCACATATCAAATAAAGCAATATTTCTATTTGATATTCTCTTTCTAGTCATTGAGGTATGAAAGAGTTTTTTAATCAAATTCATACAAACCAACCAATCAATTCACATGTTGGATGCTAGGTGATTTTGCTTAGACATAATGTCTTTCACGTATAAGGTTTGCAGATGAGGCCCAAATAAAGAGCTCTATGACAACGAAAAAAGCAAACCTGGTGTTCTGGCTGATTCTGGTAGCCTGCATTTCGCCACTGAGCTATTGTCATTCCATGGAAAATGACTATACTGAAATAAGCATCCAGTAATAGTATTTGTTCGGATGATATAGAAGATACATCCAACAATGCAGGCTTAGGAAGTGAATGAAATGAATATGCAATCAATGATGGTTGAATCATGACCACAGTGTTCAGGATATTCTCCCGATTTAACAGCATACGGAAATAAGCAGTCTCATCTGGACTATTGTTAAAAACCTGCAATGTAGTAAGCTAAATCAATAAATAAAAGAAGGAAAAATTAAGCTTCTAGTCCTGAATATCATAATTGATTACCTGTACAAATTGTGACCGCCGCAGATTAAACATAAACTGTGGAAACAGTGAGAAACTAGGGTTCAATGTGAATGAAGCAGGATCATCCTTCCGATAATCACCAAATCTTGAACATAGACGGATGAGGGAACGATCCAACCATCGTGTTGCATCAAACTCTTCCTGAGGAATAAAACAGTATAAGAAACAAAGGACCAAAATAAATCATCGGACACAGCAAAATAATTTACATAATCAGATAAACCATGCCACTATTGCAGAAATCAAATAGGGGTATTTATGACAACAGATTACAAAACCCCACTTCCAAATTCCAATAACAAAATCTGTGAAAATTGGGAAGTACCTCCATCTCCATTTTCAAAGATGTCAATCTAGCTATTACAACTGCAGCAGTCTCTTGATCAAATCCATCAACTAATTCCTACACAAGTGATTAAATTACACGTCAGGCATTAGGTTTGCAATGTGTCTCCAGTAAAACTCAATTATGAAAACGAGAACCAATGATGGAGTTGAGGAGCAAACAAGATCTGAATACCAGTTGCCAATAGACCAAGAGATTGAAATTAAGACTTCCCCACAGGCAAGTTAAATGTTTTAAGAGTAGAAAGAAGCCAATTAACCAGAAAATTGTTATAAATAGTTAAACACATCAAATTTAGTGGAATGGCTTTGTAGTCTAAATCAGGAGCTTTTCAATGCACTCAGAACTTATGGTCCATTTGATGAAGGCTTTAGTAGATGAACTGAATAACTTGTTACTTTGTCTTTTAGTGGATAAATTAATTAAATAATAAAATAATAAAGGATATGGTTAGTAATCCAATTTAAACTTCAACCATTAAGGAGCCACGAACGTCCTTAATAATTTATTCACCAAAATACAAAGCAATAAATGATTCAGTTCAGCCACTAACGGCTGTTATCAAACAGCCATATAAAAGAGCTCTTATCGTCAGAGTTCAATCTAAGTATTTTACTTTGTCAACAATTATTAATTACTCCTCTGCTAACCTAAAAATAAATAATAGATAATTGCAGCAATAAGCAAACAGAAATATAATGTAATAAGGATGCCAAGATTTTTCATAAACTCCACAAAGGAAAGAACAAACCAGATCAAGAAAAGTGGATTTTAAGGAGCATATTAGCTAAAAAACCTAGTTTTAAACTTACTTATACTTAATACATGTAATTGCACATAAACATAGTATTTAAATATGCACATGCGAATAGAACCTCAACCCTAATATAACCTTCAAAACAACCCCACTATTTTGGTTTGGATTGGGCCATCCCAGACCAAATTGCACCCCGAGTCCAACAAAAGGTTTTTGTTTTTATTTTTTTGGTTAAAACTTGCTGCTTTGCTAACTTGATATGGAACATAGCAGCAGTGAGCCAACACAAATGTAACGCCATAAAGATTCCAAGTTTGGAGTGCATTAAACAAGGCAATGACTCAATAAAATCAATTTGTGTGAATATCAAGGTGGTACATTAATCCAGAAAAAAAAATTAAGGATTGTCTTGGACCGAACCTCTGCATTAGCAGCACTTTCCACCCATCTCCTTGTAACAGTTGTAACTCGGAACCGTGCTTGTCCTTCAGGGTTTTGGTAACTGCAAAGAAACAATTACAATCAAGTCAATAAACTGAAAACAAAATTAATTAGAGAAAATTATAAGGAGAGAAACCCCTTGATGGAATCTAGCTACTTACTTTGTTAGAAACTGTAAATATAACTGTGGATTTGAAACCCCTGGAGGGTTTGTGCGCTCACTTGGTGAAATGTCAAAGAAGACAGTCAAGCAAGTCCTCTTATCAAGGCCACACATTTTCCAGGATGTTGTATTCCCCTGACCAATGACAGTGTCGGCACAAGAAGGTCCTTTCTGCAAGACTTGACTTGCAAAAAAATTAGTATAAAAATGCCCAAAGAAAAGGTAACAAATACAGTTTATAGGAGAAAAAAAGTGGTTAAACGCCATGCCACATATGTTGTTTATAAATAACAGAAGATCATTTGGTAAAGTTTATGAGACAACCTTCTCCAAAGATGTGCATGGCCCAATAATTCCCTGTATCTTAATATCTTTTGAACAGTTGATCTCAAGACTCCCACTGCAAAGTAATATTAACAAGCATTAAATGAGTACATACAGATGAACAACCATATTAAAGCCAAATATTTTCCATCCTATTAGCATGGATATTAAAAGAACACAGTCAATTAAAAAAGGCTCATATGAACCATATATAGTCAGCCGGATATTAGATGGTAAGCAACTAAAAAAGCAAAAAATCTTGTTTTAGCTCTTTCATATCATGCACAATGAATGTGTAAGCTTACTAAGATATTGGCACAAATCACAATACCTTGGAAGTGTTTGGGAGCATTAATAGCAGGTTAGTGGAAAACTTTAGCAAAATATGGCACACATTACTACTGATGCTAGAACATCTTTTTGGATGAAGAAAAGGGATGTATATAGGTGGAAAGGGAATAAAAGATAAACAAAAGGAACCAACCTAAAGTTGGGGCAGACCAGGTAAACAACAATGGAACATTTTTGGACTGGCATAAGTGACTGGTTTGTGGTAATTCCATATAATGCCATATCCAAATTAAGTTCCATAATTGGATCTGATAACAAATATCACCAACTATATCTTCTCTCATATATAAAAAAAACTTGTAGTTGCACCATATCATTGTAATATTTTCCTTGCGGCTTAGGCTCCATCATTATAATTATGCAGGGGTAAAATGTACTGGCACACTCTTCCACATGGAAAGTCTCTGATGTTTGTTTCATCTAAGCTAATTTGGGCCATCTTCAAGAAGCAGTTCAAGATACTGTCTAATGGCAACCCTATCAGAATCACTTTAGAAGACCAATAAACAAGATTTTTTTAATTGTTAATAGATGTAACTTTATTGATACTGAGGTGAACTTTTTTAGTAAAACTCTACCCTCTAAGAATATCAGAAAGGTAATGATGAACAGAGTAGAAGCAATGTAAGCTGACAAAGTTAGTACTGATGTTTTAAAACACAGAGGTGTGACGCGAGGCCTTAAACTACCTAGAGGCATGAGGCGTAGTTCAGAACATAAGAGGTGTAAGCCTCCCGAACACAAGGAGGCATAAGCCTCCTTAAGAGTAGGGGTTCAGGAAGAAGAAGAGGAAAGGGGGATCTCAACTTTTCTTCTCTTTCTTTCTTTTTCTTTCCCTTCCCTTTTTTTTCCTTTCCTTTCCTTTCCATTTTTTCTTTTTTCTTTTTTCTTTTTTTTTTTCAGTCTTTTTATGTGAGGTGTGCATGAGGCGTACACCTCTAGCACGCCTCTGAAAAAAGCGCATGAGGCATACACCTCAAAGGTGTCAGTGCCTCTGGCATATACCTCGGGGCGTTTTGGGAGCACCTCACCTAGAGGTGTGCCTCCAGGCACACGCCTCCCACGCCTTTTAAAACACTGGGTAATATATACAAAAAAAAAACCCTCTGTGGTTCTAGTATCAATTCATTCCCAGTCCCGGATTTCCCCAATCTAAAGTACATTTCTTCACTCTCATCTGCACCAGATTATCTGTCAATAAACAAGAAATGTTAGGAGAATTATAAAAAAAAAGACATGTTTGGAGAAAAGAAAAGGGAAATGATTAAAATAAAATCAGCATCTAAATAGTCCATCAACCCATAATAATAGACCACTAAGTGCCAATTCCATGAAACTACAAGTACATAACAACCAAGAATGCAGCAATGAGCACAGAGACAAATTATTTGGCATCCACAAGGGTCCTCATCATTTTTACTGGCCTCCTAGGATACAGACATCTCCTTTAGGTACTGAGAGAGATCAGTATATAATTGCAGTAAAAGGGACTTGAGGAAGGACAAAAATTGACCCACTGATATCTGAATTTGGATATATTATATTACCATCGTTGGGAGTAAAATAATGGACCACATCAAATTATTTTACCACACCATTTTGAATCTCTACTTCCTATCCAAAACCAGAAATGTTCACCCTGTAAACCTTATGCTCATTTTACATCGAAAAGAAGCAAAATCTTGAACTTCACTTACCAAACACAAAGTTCATCATCATCATTATCTAAGGATTATCTAAACTGTATGGGGTTGGCTACATGAATCCTGTTTCACCAATCTGCCATATCCATTGTCAATTTTTTTTATCAGTAAACATGTATTTTATTAAAATTTAGGTTGTAAACAGTTTATACAACTTGGTGATGGGACTATTGATCCTCCTTAATCACTCTATTCTATCCCTCATTACAGTGCAGCCCAAAATAATTGCAGTCTCAATGCCCCTGTTTTGCTAAACCGTCAGCTAGCCCATTTACACTTCTTCGGACCCATTTAAATTCAGCCTCACCCTCCTTTGCAATCTTCTCTGCTTCCCTAATCACATGTTTAAACATCCATGGGGTATGGCTGTTGTTTGCTGCCCATGAAATTACTACTTTTGAATCCCCTTCCATTTCAACATGTCTATATCCTAGCTGTTTGGCTAGCTTTAACCCTTGTAGAAATGCCAATAGTTCAGCCTTGAGTGAGTTTCCGGTGCCAATCAGTCCTGAGAACATACCCAATATCCTCCTTTCAGAATTTCTTAATACTCCTCCTATTCTTGAGATGCCTGGATTTCCAAAGGAGCTCCCGCCAAAATTCATTTCTTATTGGGATGCGGGGGTATCCCGAAGGGCTTTGCTCACAACAACTTGGAAGGCTATCTTTGGCATTCTCCCTAAATTCCTAAGGTTTGTAAGGTACGATGCTTGTTCTGGAAACTCTATTCTTTTTTGGGAAGATACTTGGGTGAGCACTCAACCCCTAAAAGACCGTTTCCCTTCTCTCTATTCCATCTCCCTCTTTAAAAAGAAACCCATTTCTTGGTTCCTCCCCCCCCTCCTGGTTTGCCCTTTGGCTTTAAATTGGGATTTTGGGTTTTGGAGAGAGTTAAGGGATGAAAATTTTCATTGTGTCTCAGAGCTGTCGTTGCTTCTAGAATCGGTGTGCCAGGACACCACTAACCCGGACAAAAGAGTCTGGGCTCTAAACCCGGTTGGCTCTTTCACTTGCACATCTTTCTTTAAAGCCCTTTGCTCAAACCCTTCCCCTCAGATCTTCCCTGTTAAAGAGGTTTGGTCAAGGCCAATACCCCCCAAAGTAGCAGTGTTCTGTTGGGAAGCCTATTATGGTAAGATCAATAYTGTGGAAAACTTGCAAAAGAAGAAACCTTTTTTGTGTCTGTCCCCAAATTGGTGCTTTATGTGTAAAGTGGAGGGTGAGGACTGTAACCATTTGCTGATATCGTGCTCCTTTGCTGCCAATATTTGGAACTGGGTTGTTTCTTTATTTGGGGGCAGGTGGAACTTGCCCTCTGAAGTAAAGCTGCTGTTCACTCCAGATGCTCTTGGGAGATCGACAAAAAGAGGGAAGATAATGTGGAAATGTATCAGAGCCGCCACCTTGTGGATTTTATGGGAGGAGAGAAATGCCATAATATTTTAAGAAAATGAAAGAAGTCTTGCTGAAGTCAAGGAATGTATAACAAAGACAATCTCATTGCTGAAATCTTCACAATTGTTGGCAGATTTCTCCTTTGATGATTTAAGGAGAAATTGGGAAACAGTGGCTTCTACAGTCTCCACTAAGAACAAATTACAAGTTGAATGGAAACCCCCACCGGATGGAGTGGTAAAATTGAACTTTGATGGCAGCTGCCAAGGTAACCCAGGGCCATCCGGAATTGGAGGAATTCTGAGAGATAAAGACAGCAATATGCTGTCTCTTTTCTCAGGACCAGTGGGTGAAGGTAATTCTGTAAGGGCAGAGCTACTAGCAGCGGTACAAGGTATACAATGGCTAGTCAATTAGGAGTGAACAATTTGTTAGTAGAAGGAGATTCCAAGGTAGTAGTGGACTGGCTGAATAGCCCAGACACAGTTTGTTGGGGCTACAGGGATCTGTTAAAGAAAGTTAAATGGATGACAAGAAATATGACTGTTAGGTTCAAGTGGGTTAGCAGATCAGCAAATGTAATGGCCGATTCTCTGGCCAAGCAAGGGGTGTCAAGGGGTGATCTGTTTTGGGCTACTTTGTAATTTGTATCTAAGGTTTGGGCATGTTTAGTGTTTATGATTCAGTCCTTGGGGGAGGTAACATCTCGTGCCTCTTCCTAGGCTGCTTGTATTTCTGATATTTATTTCAATAAAATTGCTCTCATTTATCAAAAAAAAAATCATTTCTTATTACATCCACCCAAGTCTTTTTCGGCCTGTTATCAAACATAAAGCTCTTGATATCGAGTTTTTTTCCTGACAGATGAAGTTTATTAAATAGAACCATATGACCAGCAGCTTGAATGCCTCAGAGTTGGACCATCAGATAAGCAATTTCCCAAACTCTCCTGATTTTATATTCGGGACCTAACTCCTAGAGCTAGTAGTGTATCTGTATTTGGCTTTTTGGAATAAGTTTGTATTTGGGGGAGAGTAGCAGTTGGCCTAGATCACTTTTCTGTTACTTTAGGGAGGTCCATGGTCCTCATTCACTTTGTATATCTTCAATCTAATATTCTTTTTTTACCGATGAAACTTATATTGTATTAAATTAAAATTTAAAATAAGTGAAAAACCATTACAAGTTTAATTTAATGACCATAACATCAGCCCAACAACCAGCATTATATTACAAAGATGCCCAAAACAATTGCCGCCTATCTACCCCTTGTTTAGCAAGGGAGTCAGCTAGCCCACTTGCACTTCTTCTAACCCACTTAAATTCAGCATTCAGCTCTCTTGCAGCCCTTTCTATTTCTTGAAAGCATTCTTGAGAGTCCATGGAATATGTCTGTTATTTCTTGCCCAACTGATGATAATTTTGGAATCCCCTTCCACCTCCACTTGTCTGAGGCCCAATTGCTTAGCTATCCTGAGACATTGTAGTAAAGCCAATATCTCAGCCTTAACAGAGTTAGCCACACCAATTGGCCAGAGTAAAAGGCCAGCAATCTGCCCCCCAAATTTCTAATTACCCCACCAATTCCTGCGATACCAGGATTGCCCAACGAGCTTCCATCAAAATTCAGTTTAACTTTACTACCTTGTGGGGGTATCAAGTCCATTATTATGCTGTCATTATTTCTAGAGGATTGTGCTATCTCCTTACAAGCTCTTAGAATATCAATCACTGTGAAATGTTGAAAGCATTTTATATTTTAATCCAGAATGCAACCTTCACTTTTATTGTCTCAATAACCTCCTCCACAGATCTACTTTTTCCATTGAAAATTTTGTTGTTCCTTTCCTCCCAGAGACCCAGACCACCCACACAGTTGCAGTCTTAGTAACTCCCCACATCAATCTTCCTCTGTTTTTTTTTTTTTTTTTTGATAAATCATCAGTCTTCCTCTTTTCTTTGATTGCCTTAGGAAGTTAGGCCTGAAAATGTCCGCCACCTCCTGGGGAGGGATCCACTTGCAGCTGAAAAGATCACAGAAAAACTCCCAGATAAGAGAGATAAAGGGACAGGAAATAAATAAGTGGGGTAGGGTTTCTCCACTTTTCCTAGACAACAAGCAAATATGGGAGAGAGGCAACAAAAAAGCCTTCTTTTCTGCAGCATGTCACAAGTGTGAACCTTTCCAAGGAAAGATTCAGAGCAGAAAGCTTGAACCTTAGGTGGGATAGGCTTAGGCCACACTTCTTTCACTTGGAAGTCCACCCCTTGTGAAACAGGCAAAGTTAAGGATTTGAAAAATGAGGAGCAAGTGAAAAGTCCATTAAATAATCTACTATTCTTTATCTACAAGTCTTCTTCTTATTTACCAATTAAATGAAAAAAGATTTGTACTCGGATAAAATATAACAGAAGCAGTAAAATATGAAAAAAAAAAAACAGCAAGCATAAATGGTCAGGCAATGAAATTATGTAAGGAGGTCTACTAAAAATGGAAAGGATACCTGTACTTGATTTAATATTTACCAATTCCTTCACAAGAAATTCCTTTATCATTTCATCAATATCTTAAATGTATAGTACTATAGTTTATCAGTGCAACAACATCAAAATAGTAACTCATTGAAACCTTGTCTCTAATATGAATAAGACTTTGTAACCAATCTCATTACAGAAATTCAAGGGTTCAAGTATAATTGAAATAAAAAACAGCACTGAAGTATGTGCAGAAACTTACTTGAATGAAAGGCCAAGGGCCTCTTCACCATTGTCAAAAATGCGTTTGAACGAGTCTTTAAATACAGGGTGCCCAAAACTTTCAGCTAAAACAACAAGCCCACCTGTCCTTTCAATGACAACTTTCATCTCTGCAACCCCAACCTGAAATCTCATTGTATTATAAAGGAAAAATGTGATTCCATATCACATTCATAAAGTAATATTTATATTTATTAAATAAAATTAGCAATCTCACTCCACTGAAGGAATTTTTTTACTACTAAACGCATAAAGCAAAATTAAACATTTAGAAAATAGTTAAAACCAAAACCATATGCAGCTTAATGCTTCTTATAGGCTCCTAAAACTACAAAACTTAACAGCACTTCCCAGCGTATCAATGTTGTCATACACGTGACAATGTCCTTGTCATACACGTGACAATGTTGTCAAAATCTTGCAATTTACGGTACAATTTATGATACAAATGCAACCATGATTTGAATCATGGATCCCAAGGGTTTGGCTTTAAATCTTATGTCTGAAATCCCTTTCTACAAAAACCTTACAATTTTTTAATCCTACAATTTGATCAAGGAAGAGGAGGGATATGGTGATAGATTCTGTCTCTGATACCATGGTTCAAAGTATTGATACACCGATACACACAAACAGCGTATCAGGTGTTTCAACACTCAATAACTTTTTTTTAGTTTTTTTCAAATTTGCTTCAAGGGATCCCTTATTTGGTCTTTCAAAGACATGCAAATATGATACAATATGCCCGATACAAGGTGTATTGTATCAAAATTTTAATCATTGCCTGATACATTTCAGACAGAGGAATCAAACACAGAACCTGTATTGGGCGTACCGTATCGTATCGGTGGCTTAACGACACAACCCTACAGGGGTCGTATCGGGGTCTGACCTGGTTCAGGGGGTAGACCAGCCTTAAACTGACCCCTCTGAACCGATTTCAAAGGAAAAAAAAAGGAGAGCAAGCTCTGATACAGGCCGATATGCCCCTACCGGCGTATTGGCCTGTACCAGTATTTGAAACCATGCCTGTAGGGAAAGGGTCCTATACAGGAACAAGGAGGATGATGTTGCAAGAGCATGAGGGTGATCAAAACCTTGAATGAGTGAGATCGTTAGAGAAATCAGTTATAGATCATGAAAGTAAGCTTCAGATAAGGAGGAAGAAGGATTAGAGGCATAAGAGAGTAATGATGATCAGAGCCTTGACCAAATGAGATCAGAATTTGCAAGGAAAATTATTCTGGAGTTGGAGAAGGACAAGGATAAGAAGGTTAGCATACTCACATTGTCATATAAGCACTACAATCAAATAGAAGCCAGTAGTTTGACATGAAAAGAATCGATTTATCTAATACATGAGAAGATGAAGTAGGTATTTGTGAAAATTACTTCTGAGGTTCATGTTAACCTCAGGGACTTGAAGAGGAGTCTAGTTGGTCGTTTTGTTAATTCTGATCCAGATGTGGAAGACGCTAGAGATTGGGCAGCAACTGTTTGGCACCCAAAAAAGGAACTGCAGGTAAGGAAACTAAATGCCAGCTTCTTCCTATTTACATTTGATAGCGTAGAGGAGGCAAATCTCACGCTGGAGAGAGAACAAAATGAGTTGCGATCTCCGGGTCTTAGAATCAGGAGGTGGTCTCCCTTGGTTGGTACTACAAGAGACGTGGGTCCGTCAAGTTTGGTCTAGATCATTGTTTTCAGAATTCCACTACATTTCTGGAGTCTGCCTACTTTCAAGGCGGTAGAGGATGCGTGTGGTAGAGTCAGATTTGCTGATGCAAAAACGAACTCATGGCGAAATTAGTGCGCTGCACGAATTCTGGTCAAAGTTGCAGAGATTCAGCTGGTGCCAACAGTGTTATCACTTTATTTCTCTAGGCAGAGATATGAGCTAAGACTTGTAGTTGCAGGTTCTTACACTCTAAGATGGATGAACAATCTCGAAGAGCAAAAGAAGCCTAGTCAGAAGAATTTTTAGTCGCCTGGTGAATCGACTGAGTAGACAAACAGACAGGAAATAGAAGGGCAGAGGTAGATGAAGAGGGTATTTCTGGTAATTTAGGAATTTTTAAGGAAGTTGGCTTGAGGGATCATAGTGAAGGCGGAGGCAGTCAGATCTCGAAGAGATTGGAGGAGGGTGCGTCCAGCTGAAGTCGGTCAATTTAAATCAAAGGGAGGGCTCAATTATCTTAATGGCTGGTGGACCTGGAGAGAAGAATGGGGAAACGGGGCACATGGACGGCCTTAAGGACAAAATTTCAGCAGATTTTGAAGAGCCACATAAGCTTGTTTTAGGTCCAATGGAGAATTGAGTAGGACCTGTTTGATTACTGTCTTTAATGATAGCTGGAAGTTTACTCAACTTAGGAAGGATAAAGAAGATAAGAGAAAGGTTTTAGGCTTTAAGAGATCAAACTTTAAAAGGTGTGGAACGTTGGATAGGAGAGAGCCAAGCATGGAGTTAGAAAAAGAAGAGAGGAAAGTTGGGTTTGGGTGATAGTCGAGTTTGATAGGATAAGAAAAGGGATCGTTGGGAGGAACAGTGACGAAACTTGGTGATCATCAGTGTTCTTCAGTGGATGGTAATACTAGCTCTTGCTCTCAAGTGGTTAAAGAATTTGTGGTGGTTTGCATATCTTCTGTGCCTGAGGTGGACACTGCGGTTTCTCAAGAAATCAATGGTGACTCTGGATTAGCAGCTCCATTGGCTTCTGAGGCAGTCCTCTCTGCTGAGATTGAGAGGCTGGTAGAGGGGGAGAAGAAAGTTGGAGAAGGGTTTGTTGATGCCGATGCTAAGATTAAGGGAGAAGCTGAGACTAGAGGGAAAGGGGCCTTAGTTGTTGGCGGCAACAATGGTGATCAAGACGAGAGACATGAAGATGATCATTTTTCTTTTTGAGAGTTGAAGGCTGGAAGATTGGGAGTCGACTTGGGTAGGAGCAAGGCTGAAGAGGGGGAGTCAGATATTGGAGCAATTAGTAAGAAATCGTGTTGCTAAAAAACCCTAATATTGTGCATGTGACGAAGATTTTTCTAAACTGAAGCTTGGTCTGGCTGGAGCAGGACCTACAAAAAACTATAAATGGGTTTATAGGAGAAAGGGTAACAGAGGAAGTTCAACATCCGGAATGATTTGTGGGGGGGGGGGGGAATGCTGCAGGCTCATCCATTGGGAACGAAGCAACGAGACAACAAAGTAACTAAGTAAGTGCCAATGGTCTTGATTCTAGTCCGAGCATGTTGAAGCAAAGTAACGATAATAAGGTCAGTGTTTCAGGATGTGTGTCCATCCAGGATAGAGAAGTCACGATTGGTAAAAGTCTGGGTTTATTTTTTGGGGAGATGAAGAATTTGCTAGAAGGGCATTTGAAGAGTTTGAAAGAAGAAGACAGGAAGAGAAGTTGAATAAAAAAGTTCATGGGGTAGGAGGTGAGGCTTGAGACGAGGATGTTTCAAACCAGGAGGATGAGATTGTGGATGAAGACTGAGGCTTCGGTTCTCTAAAAACAGTGATTGAACTTTTGTTTGGCTTTTTATGCCTTTGGTCATCGTTTGAGCTTTTGATGTGCCTTTTGTCTGTAAGTTGTGGGGTGCCTGATTCTGTTATGGGGCTTTTGAGGTCTGTCTGTTGGGTCTTATTCTTATGATTGTGTTTTTCTCTCGGGTGATATCTTATCACCTGTCTGCTGTATTTCTTTTTCTGTTTTAATGAAATTCCCATTATCCTTCAATAAAATAATAAGGTTAGTTGAGATAGAAACAAGAAAAAGAGGTGAATGGAAAAGATTGGATTTTTTATCAGTGAATATTATATTTACCTCTTTTCAAAAAAAAGAAAAAAAAAACGAAAACGAAAAAGATTTTGGCTATAGAAGGCACTGAAAAGGGGATGATGGGAGATAAAAAGGTTTTAGATGGTTTAAGGGTCAATTGGGGATTTTTTGGGGGCGATGATCCTTTAGAGGTTTTGGGTGAGTTGTCATCACTTGGCGATTTCTGTTGCCATTTTGTTTTTAATAAAATTTCTTTTTTATTTATTATAAAAAAATAATTCAATTAAGAATTAGTTCTCTATTTTGTCTATTTTTGGTTTTCATAAAACCAAAAACCGAATTTATGTTCCATAATAGACTAAAGAGCCATCTTCAGGATTAAAAGGCTTGAAATTTTCACTCCTCAAGGAATTTTTTTACAAGATTTTGCAATGAAAGTTTTGTGGGCTTAGTGCAAGGTGCCTCCTATACTAGAAAGCTATTATCCATATAGCCATATGGGGATCAAGAGAGGGAAGGAACAGGGACATCCTTGACAACTGAAAATCATCACTTTATTCTCCCCGAGTTCATGGATACTAGCATCATTGATAATGACAAAAGGAAGAATGTGGCGGAGATTCGCTGGCCATCCCCTATCCTCCCATTAATAAGCAATCGTTCACTTTGAATAATTTGTTTGGGAGGGTTAAGTTTCATTTAATTTTTTGGAAATAAAATAAAACTTATAAAGGAAAAAAAAAGAATATACAAGAAAGGGAACCAATTGTCACCCGAAAGAGCAAAAAGAAGCCCTAACCCAAGAATCAACCCAACACCAATCCTCAACAACTACAAACCAACAACCAAAAAACCCAAAGACAAACAGACATCCAGCCCCCAGCAAACAATCAAAACAAACAGAGCAAAAACACAAGACTCCAACAGATCACCACTCAAAGATGACCCTAGCTTACCTCACACTGTCAACAGGTTAAAGACGATCACCTTTTCTTCTCCTGTTAGTTTTCTTTACTTTCTTAACTTCCTGACAGGACTGACCCCAAATAAACCCCCTTTCTGTCTAGCAAACATTTTCAAGACCTAACAGTTTGATGAAACTTCCCGTTTTTGAAACATCTTACTGCAGTAGTAGTCCTTCATAAAATCCTTCTGGCATAGCATTGATTCTTGCTAATTCCAACACCGCCCTCCTTAAAACATTCAATTTAACGGTAGATTCAACAGGAAGCCCAAGACATATAGGATTATAGGGGTATTCTCAAACAGTGTGAGATTTTCTCGGGCATTTAGAGGTCAAATATGCAATGTGGAATCAACCGAAGCTGAGGTGTTTTTAAAAACCTTATTAGCTCAATTGGTTAGAGCATTATGTTATTAAACTAAGGTTGTAGTCATACATGTTCATATCCAACAGGCTAAACTCTTTAAAACTCTAAACCTCATGTATAAAACCTGCAATATAATAAATTCCCCATTCAACATCAAATTCAAGGTTAATTCACTATAGGAGCAAGCAAGGTAAGGTGCGCACGCATACACACACACACACACACAAAATGAGCCTCGTCTTTGAGCCTAGGCATACCTTTTAAAACACTATGTGATTTTGCAATCATATAAGTGAAAGAAAAAAATATGTTTAGCATCTGAAGTGAAAATCTTGTCAAAATTTTACCTTGATAGCCTCTAGAAACATTTCGCACTAGAATACAATAAGGTTGGAGATTTGGATAACTTACCAAGTGTCACATGAATTGAGAAGAAATGATAATATAACCGTTTTTCAATGTTAAGTTTTAATTTCCATTAAGTTTTCTAGTAAGATTGATGTTCTGTCAGTTTTAAGCATTAAAAATCTTTTAAATGAGCCCCTCCTTCCTCTTTCCCATCAAGTAGGATCTGGATTTCTTCAGTTCCTTTGAGAATAACCTTTTTTCCTTGTGGGAGGCAGCTTGTGGCAGGATAAATACTTGTGATAGCTTGCAGAAGAAAATACTAGGCAGTGGTGCACCTCTCCTTATATCTGCATTATGTGCTTCAAAAATAAATTAACTATTAGACACCTCTTGGTAAATTTCCTGTGGTGTATGGGAATTTCTTTGGGACTTGATTTATGAAGGCAACCTCTCTTGGGCCCCTCCTAATACAGTTGGTGAGTTTATCTTGATATGGAGACTTAATCAGGAATTCGTTAGAGATCCTACAGTCTTCTCCTTTTGGCCCTCAGCTTCCCATTTCCCCAAGGCCTGATTGCGCTTACACTCTGAGATTCAATGGCAGATTAAGAAGAGCCTCTGAATCTCCTCTGATGGCATGAATTGGGGGACTTATTTACAAGCCAAGCCAGAGGGGGTTATTTCTTGGATGTTCAGTGGCCCTGTTTCGGCCCAAGATGCTTCTGAGGCTGAGATTCAAGCTCTTTTGTTGGTTTTACGGTCAGCTAAAGCTCTACAGGCGGAGTCTTTACTGATGGAAGGAGATTCTAGAATCACCATTGGGTGAGCCATAAGGAAAAGTGAAGGCCCTTGGAGGATCACCCATTTCTTGCAAGAAATTTTTTATTTCTCTGTTTACCTCCATTGCAGTTTCAGATGGATCCCTAGGAACTTCAATGTTGTGGCTGATGCTGTAGCTAAAAGTGGGCTGGGAAAGAATTTGATGTATAGTGGAAATATGTTTCCTATTTCTTGAGAGGGCCTTGGTTTTTTTTGTTAGCCCTGTTTTCTCATGTACACCCTTCCCTTCCTTTTTGAATAAAAGTTACCTTCTCAAAAAAAAAAAAAAACTTTTAAATGAAATTTTAAGAACCTAGGGGTGACAGGAATTTGGATGGAAATTTTAAGTTGACAAATCTAATCTGATAATGTCATTTTGAACCTAAGATGCTTTAGGCCACTATATATGTCTATTAATTCAAAGAGTCGTGAGGAATTGTTAAAGTTAAATATGGCCTTGATCATGAATGTTGGTGCAAGTCTTGGAGAGGAGTATAGCAGATTAATTACAACTAAATATCAAAAGAGATAGAGATAACTCATATTCAGGTCTATGTCTATATGGAAGCTTAAGCAAAAACATTGTAGGAAGTCGCCCTGGAGAGGAAAAGGACTAAGCCCAAACCTGATCAAGTGCAGAAGCAAAAAGATCTAAAACATGGCCCTGGCTAACAAGCTGCTTGGCAAGACCATCATAAAATTTTACAGCTTTATGGAAATGAGCTGCTGCATCCTTATCAAGATCTTTATGAGAACGTACTGGTTCCGACAGATCTTTTGACACAATCTGCAAATAACACATTATTGATACCTAAATACTTTCCACAAGTACAAAAAAAAAGTCTCCAGAAAATACAGCAGCAAAGAACCTTAATGATGAAGTAATTCAACAACATGATGCGTACAACTGAATGTTTATATTAAAAATCAAGCTTATTCGACAATAGAAAGAATCTATGATGATACAAAATAATTCAATAACTTGATAATTAAATGCTATCTAATCTTATTGATTTCTTTAGCTAGGCAAGCTGTTAGATGGGACTTACTTGACGCTGGCTCTTGATTCTATATATATGCAGTGGATGGAATGCACCAAGTCAGTATTTTTAAAAGCGCAAGGGGCAATTTGCACCCAAGGCACGCACCTTTTCGAAACATGGGGCAAAAATACAAAAAAAAAGGCAAATTTCTCAAAACAATGCCAAAATAATCAAAAAAATTAATAAAAAATATAAAGTTAAATTTCCAAAAACCTATTATCTAAAATAAAAATGTAAAGCATATTCGAATTAAAATTTAAAAATAAAATCAAATTGCAAACATATAAAACATTTTCAAGCATGTAAAATCAACAATCTCTTTTTCTTCAATTGCATTGCTTCTTTATTTTTCTTTTGATAAACCAGGAAAGAAGGGGCTACACAAAATGGGGGGGGGTAGAACGTCCCTAGAAATCAAAACAACTGATAACACTTGAAGCTCTAGGAATGAAAGAACCAGATATAGAGGTGAGCATTCGGTTTAATCGGTTACAAACTGAACCACATAAATCGAAATAAAAAAATGAAAACTGAAACCGAATTACAATAAAACCAAAATAACCGAACCAAAATTTCCGAGTCGGTTTTCGGTTAAAAACCGAATTTAATTAATATATATTATGAAAATGAATTCCATTATAATACATTATATATAAATATTAATATATAAGTATATAGCATATTATATATTAAATGTTATATATTGTATATTATTTATTACATATTATATAAAAAACTTTGGTTAATTCGGTTTTTTTGGTTAACCGAATTTCTAAATCTGAAAACCGAAAACCAAAATTCCTAAAAACCGAATTACCCAAAAACCGAAATTTTCGGTTCAGTATTTCGGTTTAACCGAATAATGCTCACCCTAACCAGATATATCATTTGAGTGTGCATAGTTAGCTAACCAGTCCACAGCTATGTTGCCTTCACCCTACAGCGTCTCGAGCAAATACTTTCCAGTCACCACCCCCAATTGCATTACTTCAAATAGCTATTGTGATGTAAAATATCTTGAATTCCTAAGTCTAATTTCTGCGAGCCATCTTTGTACCAAGCCCCTAAAGGCAAGCCCAAAGAAATCCATATTACAGTCTTAAATTCTTAATCCTTACACAAAAAAAAATGATGATTTTATAATTTTACTTGGGCTTGTGGTGGAAGGATTTCTTTGGGCTTGCCTCAAGGGGCTTGGTCGGGGGTCCGGGGACAGAGCCCCAGACCCAGCTGTTAGGTTCAAAGAAGAACAAAAAGTGCAAAAATTAAAAAGAAAAAAAAAGGTTCACGCTTGGGCTGAAGCACAAGGCACACCAAGCACTCGCCTTTTAAAAGTGCTACGCCTGAGGCCTAGGCAAGGTGCATACCTTAAAATGTGCCTCGCCTGAGCGCTTAGGCACACCTTTTAAACCACTACTCCAAGTAGCTTTCATGTTGGGTAATCTCATGATAGCAAAGCTCTTCAATATATTTCAATAATTTGAGGTTACCATACATTTCTTAACCTTCCAATAAAGACATCAAATCTAAGTTTACCAAAGTAATCTCAGCTTACCATATTGAGATAGGCAAGTGAACAAAGGAACTATTTGTTTTATTTTCCTTTACTTTTTCAGTTTTTTTTAATTAAGCAATATATTCAGTAAACATGTACATGAAATACCAGTCTTTTCTGGTCAACGTGAATAATGCATGAATCACTTCACTTTTGATAGCTTACTTTCTGGCCCGCTTCTTCCAACTAGCTGCCGTAATGAAATAACATTACAACATTACAACATAACAAATAGAAGAGGATGCTGTGAACATCCCCCCATAGTTAAAGATACTATTGTTATGCTGTGAACATAACAAATTGAACTCAACAAAAGTTTATCTGTTATGTTTAAAAAAGTGGGGCTGAGAAAGCCTGCTATACAAAATAAACTGAGCAATGTGGGAGATGGGGCTAGAGTGAGATTTTAGGAAGACAATTGGAGTGGGGTTGGGAAGCTGTGTGACCTATGCCTAAGACTGTATAGGTTGGCTGAACAGCAGGTGTCAATTGCCCACTGCTATGAAGTTAGAGGTGATCAGGTGGTATGGAGTCCCAAATTCAGAAGGCCTCTGCTTGATTGAGAGGTGGAGTGTATCTTACTGCTTGACAAATTAGAGCAGACCAGAATTTCTACATCATCCGGCAATGGTTTGTGGTGGAGGAGTGTAGAGATGGAAAATTCTCGGTGAAGCCAATTATCAAAAAAAAAAATCTCGGTGAAGCCCTTCTACCAGGCTCTGATCAAAGAAGATATAGCTGCTGATCGGAGTTTGGGGAATCTGGTTCCGCCAAGAGTTGAAGCATTTGCTTGGCTAGTTGCGTTGGACAGTATTCTCACAACAGATCATTTGAAGTGCAGAGATTTCAGTTTCAGCATCTAACTACTGTTACTTATATGCAAGACAGATGAGGAAACTGCTCATCACTTGTTCTTCTCATGCAAAGTGGTAAACTTCATCTAGAAGTTTTACTCTTTCCTCTTTGGGGTTCCTGTCTTCCAGCGTTCCTCAATAGCAGAGATCCTCTTTTCCTGGCCAAGGTTCAGAGGAAGTAAGAAAGCCAGAGTCATCTAGAGCTGCATCCCATTTGCAGTTTGTTGGACATTATGGTGCGAAAGGAACAGAAGCCGCTTTGAGGTAAGGAAAAGGACATTGAAATGGTAGTGGCTTTGATTGGAAAGCTCGTCACAAGCTGGGTCCTGACTCTTCCAGAATTTGAGCACATCAACAGTTCAGGTTTGGTGGAAAATTTTTGGGATATTCTTGAGATTCAAGCCTGTAATGTGAATCGTTTTCATTTGGATTAAGTGATCTGGTGTGTCACCTTGACACCCAATCAGAATGTACTCTCTTTTTATTTTTAATAACATATATATAATTTACATGTCAGCTCCCAAAAGTAAATGCAGCATTAAATCTTGCCCATAACAACATTAACCATTTATTGCTTCTGCTCAAAATTCCAGTTGTTTCTTTCCTTTTAAATCAACTTTTGGGAAAGGGTGTGAAGTTCCACAAGATGTTTCCTTTCTTTCTCAAAACTCTAACAGGCCATGCATTGGCAAATGATAAGTCCTACCCACCACCAGCCAAATAATTTAATAAGGAAATACCAATAACATATATCGTGGAAGAAGGGGCAACTAATAAGAAGGTGATCAACAGATTCATCAAACATGCCACATGGAGTACAGAAATTGTGAAGATACCAACTTCTGAAATATCAACTAAACCATGGCCAGGATTTTACCTAAACATGCAACCCCAATCACATAAAGAAACTGACCCTTGGGGGGTATTAGGATTCCCACAACTAGAGCCAAGGGAATGGAGGGTATGGTCCATTAACGAGAGGAAAAAGGATTCAATGGATAACAAACCATTCAGGTCAAGATCTCAAATTCTTCTTCACTCATATACTAGCCTGAAAAATAAAAAAATAAAATAAAATAAATCCCTTGCATTTGGACTAATAGTTCTACAAGCACAAGAACCCACATTTGTCTTCACAATCTGACTTGACAAAAATCCCTTGGATTTGGGCAGATAGTTCTACAAGCATATCAGCCTCCCAACCATTAATTTTCGTACACAATTGAGGTACCAACATTTTATAATCCTAAATGATAAAGTGTTTGGCTTGACATGTTCCATCAGTCTTAAGGCTTTTTGGCGTATTGCTCAAGCATGTAACAAGCAAAAAGGGCTACCTGGAGTAGAGTGAAAGCCATCACAGAAAGGACTACCTGGAAAAAAGAGTGAAAGCCACCAAAGGGAAAGAGCTACCTGCTACCTAGGGGTGCAACTTGGGTGGGTCCAACCCGAGCCCGACCAGACCTGAAATTTTGCACTGGTTGGGCCTGAATTTTTGAGCTGTGAACTGGGCCTGAACCAGAAAACTCAAACCCAACCTAAACTTGGGTTACACTTGGGTTGAAGCCTCGGGTAGCCCGACCCAACCCAAGCTCGCCTGAAAAAATACATACATATGTGTATTATTCATATAAAAGTATCTTTTTTTCTAATTATGCACATATGTGTATATGTATATTGTATAAAGTATGTATATGTACATTTGTAAATGAAATTTGTACATATTTTAAATTAATTATACTCTTAATTTGGGCCATAAAGCCCAATAAAAGATGACTACATAAATATATATATATATACAAATTCTTTCAAACCCAACTAACCTGACCTGGCCCAGCCCAACCCGATTTGTGTGGAGTTAAGCTCAAGTTGGGCGTGGGTTGTTAAACTTGGGGTTAACCTGAGGCTGGGCCAGGGCCAGGCCCAAGCCAAGGTTTGCACCTTTAGGGTTGGGCTTGGGTTGACCTTCAACCTAATCCAACCTGCCCGAGTTGCACCCCTACTACCACCAGAGTGTAAGCCGTCGTAGAAAGGGCTACCTACCGCCAAAGTGAGAGCCGTCATGAAAAGGGCTTACCTTCCGCTAGAGTGAGAAGCGCGGTAGTGTGTTACGGTCCTAAATGTTTGAAGTGCTTGGCATGAAGCGTTCCATCAGTCTTAAGGCTTTTGGTGTATTGGCTGAGCACATAACACAACACTACCATCTTAGCAACCAACTCATACCAATTAGCAATGGTAACATTCTTCTCCATTGCCTAATTAGATGCAACCCCACAACCACCACACACACACACACCATCTATCTTCCCAAAATCACACCTGATTTCCCCAAACATCAAATGACACATCCTTGGAGAAATCTAATGAACAATTATGCCTAGCCAAAGAATGCAATATCATATGGATCAGATGCTTGAAAGGACTGCCAATAGTGATACCGAAGCTGATCACATCCATACTTGCTTAAAGCTACAATAGCATAAAGGGCTAGAACCTTCAAATCGCAAATTTGCAATTTAGCAAGAAGTTCCTTGGTCACTAACCAAAAGGATTATATCCCAAGCCCCCCTTTCTCCTTTACCATGCATATATGCTCCCAATTCACCAGATGGTATTGCTTTTTCTCTTCAAACCCATCCTACAAGAAAACCCATTCCCTCTTCTCCAACATCTTACCCATGGAGGCTGGGAAGGAAAATAAAGGCAAAAAGTGGAAGATTAGATCAGGAAGATTTTATTAATATCAACTTGTCGTCATTAGAAAGGTAAGCCTTCCTCAAAATTGCCAGCTTTCTCCCAAAGCACTCAACTACCAGGTCCCATATAGCCTCAGACCTGTGACTAACATCAAAGGAAGGCCCCAAATATGGAGGCGGGGGCATATGGCACCAAACTTACAAATTAAGGCATCAAACTTACAAAGGAAGACCCCAAACCGGAGTTAGCATTGTACACAAACATTGGAAGATTGCATTAAAATGCAAATTCATGGATACAAATTCTTAGCTGAGAATAAAAAGAGAACAAAAACGTTGTTATCTTTCATTTGATCCCTGTTCAAACACAAGCTTACTGTCGCTAAAGGTGGGTAACAACATAATGAGCGAAACCCAACAACGAGGCATTTTCAGATCCATGGGGAACATCACTTAATCCGTCAAAGGAATTTATTAGTAAAAAGATGGGTAAGCAATCTTACCGTTCCTGGGCCTTCCGTGCATGGACCACCCACCATAGCTACAATACGAGCACCAGTGCCAGGCGAGCAAGCCGCCAGTAGGCCTGCAGCAACGCTTAGAGCTACACCTGTGCAGCGTAACGCCCTATTACCAGGTTGAACCGGCCATTGATCTGTTTGCAACTCATCTAGTAGCTGAGGTTTCATGAGAGATTAGAAAAAGAAATGTCAATTTTCATATTTTTCAATAGATGGATCAACTTTCCCTGAAGAAATTCTCAGTCCCCCAGATCTCAAAAATAAAATAACAGATCTAGAACAACGAGTAGATCAATAAGAAACAAAAGAAAACTAAGTGACAACAAAACTAACCGTATCAAGAGTATATTCGCATTCTGAAGCGGGAAGCAGAAATCGATTAACTCCGGAATTGGGCATTACATTTTGGACGGCCTTCGGATACCCAGGGGCGGCCCTCTGCGGCGCAGTACTAAGGCCCAATTGATCCAATACCTGCTCTTTAGAGATCTCCTTGCTACCACGAAAGACGTAAACCTTGGTGAGATCCGAGAACCCAAGCTCGTGAACCTGAACCTGCGTTCCAAACGAAATGAACCCAACAAGAGCGTTCTCGGGCAACAATCCAATTGCCTGCTTGAGCGCGGATTTGACAAACCCTAGCTCCTCCTCAATGACACAGGTGTCGAGAACGAAGAGGAATACATGAGAGAGAGGCGGCGGAGCCGGGACAGCAGGGTTCTCAGGGACAACGTACTCGACGGTGGTGTACTGCGGATACAGCTCGGCGGGGACATTGGTCTCAGAGATCATGGAGTAATGGGGCGGGAAATGGTTGCGCTGGAAGCAGAAGGGGCAGATCCATATTTTGGCGGTAAAATCGACGCGGCAGTACGGGTTGAGGACGCAAGCGCAGGTCTTGCATCGGAGGGGGAGGTACGGGAGGGTGGGGATGTCGGGGTGGGGTCGGATCGGAGAGATCGCAGCGGCGAGCGGGATCACGCACTTGCTGGCTTCCACCTTCGTTCTCGGCCACGCGTTCCATGTCATCCGTACTCCATCGATTCCCTCCGGGTCTGACGCTGCCATCTCCGACATCTCTCTCTTCTTCCCTTCTTCTCTGCTTTTCCCAAACGTTGTAATCAGAACAAATTGGGGATTTAGGGTTTTCCTTTTCGTTTTTTTTTTTTTTTGATTTTCTTAATTTCTTTCTCTTTTTCGGTTTTTTCCCGGGTTTCAGACAGAGACGGGGGAGCGAGGGGCGACCCCTTGACGGAGACGGGGAAGGGGTCACCACCACCGGTTAAGCCTAAGAAAATCAAGGAGGTAAGAGAGAATGAAATGGAGATTTTTGCATGCTTTGGCTATATATGATTGCCTCCTGTACGTATCGGTATCGATTGCATTGGATCATTGTATGGCTCCGTGCTTCTTTTCTTTTTCTCGGTTAATAATTAATAATTAATCTTCTGTTTTCTGTTTTCAGGAGAGACGAGAGTAGCAGTTTCCATCTTTAATTTCTTGTTTATTTTTTAACGGTTTGAACCACAGCTTTGACCTTGGGTTGGTCACGATAATCTACGGTTCTTATTGAAAGATAAAATGGTGTTTGATTTACATTAACATCTGGGATTTGATTTGGGTGTAGTTGGTTCGGCATGCGTGTTCTCCGCTACTATTAGAGTAGAACGTCCTCATGCAACTCTTCGAAGCTTCGCCCTACAGACAAGAGACAATCACATTGGCTCAGGTGCTTACGAGGAGCATTGCTCGGTTGCTCTGTTCGACTATGATACCGAAAAGATACGATACCAAACATTTAACCAATGAACCGGTATAAGGTAACCAATCAGGTGGTGGTAGCCAGGCAGATCACTGGAAAAATTAGGTGGTATTTAATTTAATTATTTTTGAAAATTTATAGGGTTTTGATTGGTCAAAAGACTCAAAACCCTTCAGCTACCGGCAGCATAGATTTTCCCATGTTCTCATTGTTATGGACCTATGGTTTTAGGACCTCTGTTGGACTGGTTGCGCAACGTAACCTTTACTGGGCACGCAGTTATTTTTCTGAGCATAGAGCCTAGTGGCTTGCTTGGAATTTGGCAACATTTATTAACACGAGCAGCTTAATAGTTAACAAGGCCCAAGCCCATTATCCACTAGAGGCCCGCAGGTGGACTAGTACAGTAAGGTAAGTTTGCTTGGGTTGGGCTTTGCTTGGCTGACACTCAATCAGACCCAACCCGCTCAAGTAGAGGTATCAAGGCTTAGGCTCAAAGTATCGGAAATGCAAGGTGTATCATAAAGACAATTTTAATAAATGTATCAAAATACATTTTAAATATGCATGGATACGGACGAAAATTTAAGATACATATAAATATGATACAAAATTCAAATAAATCATAAAAAATATATTAGTAACAATACTTACAAGTTTTATATGATTGTAAATAAGTCATTTAAATGTAAAAAACCATAATTTAATGTTTATATAAAATGTGACATATTAAGATATAATTAGTAACCGTTGAAAAACTAAAATGTGAAAAAAGCAAACAAAATTAAAATGTGAACGTATATACATCAATTTTCAAATAACTAATATAATTTATCTTAATATTTATTAGTATATAAATTTTAATAATTAATTTCAGCATTTATTAATAAGCACCGCTAAGAAAATATAAAACTTACTTAAAACTAAAAATGTATATAATTATAACAAACAATTGGAGTGGCTTAGTTGTGAAGTTATTTGCATTAAAATCTAATGACCAAGGTTCAAGTCTTGATATTGTTAACATTTACAGCTTTTATACAAACAAAGTGAAATTAATGAGAGAGAGGATCATTAATTAATGAGAGAAACCTGTTTTGGGCTCATATTGATTGATACATATCTGAAACGGCCTGATACATAGCCAATACATACGAAAAGAAATGGAACAAATGATTTATACACGTCCTGTGTATCGGTTTCTTACCAGAACGGTATATATCGGCCGATATGGCCCAATACGCTGTGATATTTTAAACCTTGATTAAGCTCTGTTTGGTTTTATTTATTTTAAGTGCTTTTTGGAATAAGCACTTAAAAGAAGTATTTGGACCACATATTAAGTGGAAAATAAGCACTTATGCTTATTTGGCAAATAAATCAAGAATAAGTGCTTATTTAAAAAATAATCACTTAAAAAAAAGTAGGTTCAAGGTGACATTTTTTCAGCATTTATTCAACATGTGCTTATTCAAAAATTTTGGGATGATCTAGTCCCTAAAATATTTTGGTAATACCCAAACTACCCCACTAATGGAGAAAACCCTTGTCTTCTCCATTTGCACAGTCTAGATAGGGTAGCGGTGGCAAGAGACAAGAGGAGTGACCAGTGATGACTTTAAGGCAACCACGGAAACCCTCTCAATAGGCGCAAGGCCATTTCAAATGCCTTTTTTATTGCTTTTTTTCCTCTCGTTGGCTATGCATAAGGTTTTTAAAACTGAACGGACAACGAACCAGTCAAGGGTCCGGTTCCTGGGTCAAACGGTGCAACTGTTCAAACCAAATGGATGACCCATTACAACAGACAAATTAAAAAAAAAATGACTAAACCGTTGAATGGTTTGAATGATTCGATTGCCTGGGTCAACGATTTGCTGACCAAATCAACAGTTTATGGCGAAATAACTGTTCTAGGGTAAAACGGAACCGATCACCTAGCTGGTTTCTAGTTTTCCGGTCCGGTATAGTTTTGAAACCATGGTTATGCGAACCAAAGAGGGAATACCTTCATCAATGATACCCTTATCATAACCATTGCCTCTGCAACTAAACTCATTAGAACCTCCCTCTCTTTCAAAAAAAAAATCGATTTCGAATTTGAAATCTAATGTGAACGCAATGGTACCCTTGATGTATCCATCACCTTTGCAACTCAACTCATCAAAACTTCCCTCTTTCAAAAAAAAAAAAGATTTCGAATGTGAAATCTAGTGTGAACGCAATGGTGCCCTTGCCGTATCCATCGCCTCTGCAACTCAACTCATCGAAATCTCCATCGTTTAAAAAAAAAAGATTTCGAATTTGAAATCTAATGTGAACGCAATGGTAGCCTTGTTGTATCCATCGCCTCTACAACTCAATTTATCGAAATCTCCCTATCTTCTAGAAAAAAAAACACATGTTCAAATTTGAAATCTAATGCGAATGCAATGGTACCCATGTTGTTTCAACTACTAGCAACATCATTGGAAACGGTTTTTATCGAATGGAGAATCAACATCCCTGAATTCGTAACCACAGGTGTGTGGTTGGGGAACACTCTCGGTGATGTTCTTTGCAGGCAGGGAATCAAAATATGTGATTCCTATAAAACTAGGTGCATCAAACACAACTTCATCATCATCATTTGTAAAATGATACAAAACTCACAAAAAAACATAGCACAGTTTGCACAGAAGAAACAAACTTGCTGAAGAAAAAGTATGTCTCACTCGTACTTTTACTCGTCGAATGACGATATATATAAATACATATGCGGTGAGGCCAATACAGTTGCGATGAGCTCTTAGAAAATATCACACGGTGAATGTCTTTGGGTTGTCCACTTGGCTTTCCGGAATATTGGAACTTTCTTTAACTTAATCATGTTTTGTTAACACCCCCCGGTCAAGTTGGGTATGAAGGGAACGAATGCTTAAATTGCCAAGTAGATAATGGAATATATTTGCCCCTAAGGCTTTGGTAAACAAGTCAGCTGGTTGTTCCTCTATTGAAAGGTGAGAGGTTTTGATTGTCTTGGTTTGAACATGTTCACGCAAGAAGTGACAATCAATTGCTATATGCTTCGTCCGTTCATGAAAAAATTGGAATATCTACTATATGAAGAGCCGCTTGATTGTCACAACGAAACAATAAATGTTGAGTGACAGAAATGTTGAGATCAACAAGGAGGCGTTTGAGCCAAAGCAACTCTGTAGTGGTGGAAGCCATTGCACGATATTTCACCTTGGCTGATGCGTGGGCTATAGTGTTATGTTTCTTTGTCTTCCAAGATACAGGTGAATTACCAACAAAGATCACATACCCGTTTGTGGATCATCAGGATATTGGACAATTGCCCCAGTCAACATCACAATAAGCTTGAACAACAAAACCATTTGATGAAGGTAAGAAAAGGCCTTTGTCTAGAGAGGCATGAAGATACCCGAGGATGCATAAGGCTGCAGTCATGTGAGCTTCAGTTGGGTGTTGCATATGTTGATTGAGGGCATGAACAGAGTAGCACAGTTATAATTGTGTGATGGTTAAATATACTAATCAGGCAATGAGACAACAGAAATGACTAGGGTCTGAAACTAAGGGACTCTACTCATCAAACTGTAGTTGTCGTTCATTGGAAATGATGTTGGGTGACAACCAATCATGTCTACTTCATGTAATATGTCAAGTAGGTACTTTTGTTGATGTAAAAAAAATTCCAAATGAAGAGCATTGAACCTCAATCCCCAAGAAATAAGTGAGTGGTCCCAAATATTTAAGACGGAAACACTTGCGCAGGCATTGCTTTAGATCATTAATTTAATCAAAATTACTGCTAGTGATGATCAAATCATCGACGTAAACAATGACAACAATGTATGAACCTAAATTAGAGGAGGAGTGAGTAGTCATTTAATGAGTAAGTGAGCACATACTGCTTGAGGGCATCTGCAAAATTTTCAAACCACTGTCGGGAAGCTTGCCATAGACCATAAAGGGATTTTTTTAGTTTATACACTCGCTTGTCTCCTGAATTAGAAAGTCCTATCAGAATTTCCATATAGACTTCATCAAGTAGATCACCATTAAAAAAAGCATTACTAACTTCAAGTTGGTGATGGAAGGCACCGGACTTTGACTAGTTTGGCTACTAGTGTGTATGTGTCATGGAAGTCTTGACCCTCGACCTGAGTGTACCCCTTAGCCACAAGTCTTGCCTTATAACGTTCAATTGTTCCTTCAACTCGATACTTGATTTAGTACACCCATAATGCACCGATGGTTCGTTTTCTTAATGGAAGTTCAACAAAAGTCCATGTGTTAGTTTGATTCAATGCTGGAAGTTAATATTCCATATCTTGCTGCAACATGGATCAAGAACTGCTTGATTATATGTGTATGGCTCAATTAGAGTGTCAACGTGATGAAGGAAGCTGGTCGAGTACCCAGAGAATTGACATTCATAATCCCTCAAGCATGCCAGAGTTTTTTGTTGTCGATGAGGGTGAGTTATGTTAGCTATGCCATGGTTAGGATAAACCAGATTGGGCTGGGCGTTTGCTCATCAGGTAGAGGGCAATAAATGTTGTCAGAAGTGGGTAACAGTATAACCAGCCTGAATTGGTGAAATGTGTTAATTTATTTAACATGAAT